GAGAGAGAGAGAGAGAGAGAGAGAGAGAGAGAGAGAGAGAGAGAGAGAGAGAGAGAGAGAGAGAGAGAGAGAGAGAGAGAGAGAGAGAAGAGAGAGAGAGAGAGAGAGAGAGAGAGAAGAGAGAGAGAGAGAGAGAGAGAGAGAATAGAGAGAGAGAGAGAGAGAGAGAGAGAGAATAGAGAGAGAGAATAGAGAGAGAGAATAGAGAGATAACGATAAGGTTTGAGGCTATGGTGGTGAGTTGTGAGACCTTGCATGGACTGCTCTCGAGCTTGTTCCATGTGGGAGCAGCAAGATGGACACGTACATATACATATATACATACACCTTCCGGGCCTTTATCGAATACAAAAACCAAAGTTCATTTCTTTACTCCTTTTTTTTTTTTTCATCCAAAAATGTCCAAGCAAAATAGATAAGTCACCAAATATTTCATGCAATCGTGGATATTTAGAACATTATATTTCTTATTACTTATTTTTAGGATCACATCTTGCGATCGCGGATTTTATATATGTGCGGGCGGGAAGCATCACGCGCGGGATCTTCAATAAACTCACAAGTCAAAGCATATATATGAACTATGATATTTTGTCATAAGAAGAATATTTAGACGAAAAGTAAATAAGCATATGCATGGTTCACTACTTAAAAGAATAATCATCATTAACGACAAAAAAAAAAAAAATCATCATTAAGAAAATAGCGATTACATGCATTAACTTAATTAATTATATATGTTAGTTTACAATCCTAACATTAAAGCAACACAATATTTATTTTGTTAGTTTACAAGATGTATATTTTCAACTTCTCATGCGATAACGAGAGAGGGTCAATTTCTTGTTAATTTTTATTAAGGCTCACTAATTTTTAATTTTAATGTTATAATAGCTTTAGTTGAATAATATCCTTGTTCTACACTTAAGTCCACACATATACAGTATATAAATAAGTGTTTCTGTCTACCTAAAGTAACATATACCGTTATACGAGGAACGAAATTAGAATTAGGATTGAAAAATCTACATGACACATATATGCCTGAAACAAATAATAATAAAATTCTACAAGAAAACTTGCTAGGAAACGGATTATTAAAAATTAAAAATTGCACAAAATTAAAATGGTTTCAAAATTTCGACGAGAAAAAAAAAATGGTAGGAAAAAGGTGTCGTTGTCTCAGCCACGTACTCGCTCTCTGTTTCTGTCAAACACATCACATGATGACTTCATCTCTCACTCCACTGTCTTCTTTACTCTTTACTCCGCACTCACCAACCTCTCTTTCTTCCCGACCCGATAGCTCATTGTAGGATCCGACCCGGGTTTTTTAACCGTCTTCTCCGTCCCAATCTATGATGAAGCGGGGCAAGAAGAACCCGGATGCGGGTGACCCGTTATCCAACTCGGATACTCGAGCCGGGTCTAGCGAACTGAATGGGATGAAACCAAGTATGAGCTCGATGAAATCGATGGGGATACTCCTGGCAGTTCTTATGGTTGCTTCGGTTATGTTCTCTCTGTCAGTGGTGCTTAGAGACCCACCTTCAGATGCTGTTGTGGAGACTCACGCAGCTTCTAGGCTTCTTCAGATCAGCTTGCACCCTGGTAAAGTTTTGATTTTTCCTCTCTTTGTTTGTTTGTTGTATTAGTTAGTGGATCAGCTCAAAAGTCACCGTCATCAGATAAGTTACTTTTTTCGTAAGGATCTTTTCCCCAAAATGGTAGGTTTTGTTAAATTAGGATAATCTCTTCTTTTTTTTATGCTTCAGTAAGTTAAAAACGGTTTCTTGACATTTCCAGGGCAAAAGTAAAAAACAAATTTGGTACGTGTAGTTAAGAACCCATATGCATGTGTTTCCTTTGGAAATGTTTTAGCTACATTGTTTGCATTAGTTACACTAGTTGGCGGTTTTCTGATTTTCAGGCGTCGATTCAGATGATGGGTTAAGCGAAAAGAAGGAACAGCTCGGCGACATTAATCATGTGTCTAGTTTCGATAAAGAATCATGCTTGAGCAGGTATGAAGGGGGTTTATATCGAAAGGAATCACCTTTTAAGCAATCCTCTTACCTGGATTATAGATTACAAAAATACGAAGATCTTCATCGACGGTGTGGACCATTCACTAGATCATATAACTTAACATTGGACAAACTCAAGTCGGGAGATCGATCTGATGGTGGAGTCTCTGGTTGTATATATGTAATATGGTTAAACTCTAATGGTGAACTTGGGAATACGATGCTGAGTCTAGCTTCAGCTTTTCTTTATGCTCTCTTGACAAATCGGGTTTTACTCGTCGAACCAGGAGTTGACATGGCTGATCTTTTCTGCGAGCCATTTCCAAACACTTCTTGGTTTCTTCCCCTGGAGTTTCCACTCAAGAGCTGGTTCAATGAACAATCACTTCTTCGTGAAACTGGCAACCCGATGCTTGCATATCGCCATGTTGTTCGTGATTCCAGTGACCTACAAAAGCTTTTCTTTTGCGAGGAAAGTCAAGTTTTGTTGGAGGAAACCCCGTGGCTGATCATGAAAGCGGATAGTTTCTTTCTCCCATCTCTCTTCTCAATCTCATCATTCAAGAAGGAACTTGAAAAGCTCTTCCCCGAAAAAGAAAGAGCATTTTACTTCTTGGGTCAGTATCTCTTTCACCCAACTAATGTTGTCTGGGGTCTCATTACACGATACTATCGCACATATCTTGCTAAAGCTGATAAGAGAATATGAATCTATATTGGAGTCTCTGAGTTTGGTGATGATCAGTTGCCGTATTTGGTAGATCAGATTCTAGCTTGTGGAACTAGACATAAGCTGCTTCCTGAAGTTGACAAACAGATACACCTCCCTTCAAGCCAAGTTCTAAACCGAAAACCAAAGGCAGTGTTTATCTCATCTTCTTCTCTAGGGTATTTTGAAAGTATCAAGGACATATATTGGGAAAATCCAACAGTGATGGGAGAGATAATCAGCGTTCACAAGCTGAGCCACAAGGAGTACCAAAAAACCCCTAAGAATATGGAGAGTAAGAGAGCATGGACTGAGATATACCTTCTAAGTTGTACTGATGTGCTGGTGGTCACAAGCTCATGGTCCCCACTCATGGACGTGGCTCATGGCCTTGGAGGGTTGACGCCATGGGTATTGAACAAGGCTGAGAATGGGACTGCCCATGAACCATACTGTGTGAGAGCAAGGTCAATAGAGCCCTGTTCCCCAGCGACACTGTTCCATAGCTGTAATGATTAAAAGATGAAATAGAGTTTCTAGGGATATTCTTTTGCCTTTACTAGATGTTGTGAGGTCAAGAGTTTCAGAGTTTCACAATAGACATGTAAGGAATATTAGAATTAACTTAAATGTAACATTGCATCATCGCATCATCGCATGACTTGATCGAGTTCTATATTCTTTCCAATACACCTGTAAGTGTTCTTATTCACGTCTACAATAGTATACATTCAAAAATAGAAAAACCTATAGATGAAGCTAAAGTTGCTCTATAAAATGGGGAAAAATATTGAAGAAAGGGTTTTAAGACTTACAACAATATATTAGGATATATTGCGTTTTTGCTATGTACACAGCTCGAAGACACTGGTGATTTAATCTTTAACTGCCTGTCTGCAGATAGGGCACGAACCGTGTCTGATGAGCCATCTATCAACACAAACCAAATGAAACGTATGATCACATTTCGGTAAGCTTCGTGTGATTTCCCCTGTTTTGATGTCCTGTAGATGCCAAGGTGTGAGATGGTCAAACGACATGATAAGAATTAAGAAGTGCAATCAATTCATGTAAAACCAATAGAAGCAGACAGAACCTGCAGACAAATTGTGCAGTGAGTGACCTGCCTCTTGATCATTTCGCTTGACATGATATAGCATGGTAGTTTCCTTAAAGATTCACCCGATAAGCCTCTAGCTTCTGGTTCACCATTAACATCATCCCGATCTTCATAATTTACATCGGAAATTCTTAGCTGTAGAAAGTAGAAAAAACTGCTTACATCAATCTACACAATTCAAAATCTCAAACTAAAGGAGATTGCAGAACAGAGAGGAACAGGAAAATGTAGGAACACAACAAGTAACAGATCTTGGATATGTAAAGGAACCTAGCTATTCTTATATAGACTCAAGGCACAAAAAGAAGTATTGGCCAGCGTTCATAAATAATAGACATCATTCAGCCACTTAAAACTTTCTCAGCAGTCATGCTCATATAGTAGCTATCAGCAGTGCATTTTAGCGTTCTCTCAATAGTATAATTTCATAGAACATTTATAACTATACACATGAAGACAGTAAGAAAAAAACCTGCCAGTGGTGTGAATTTATCATTGTTGACATAAGTTGTTCATCCACTAGTCTCCCACGAAAGAGTTGCTCTATAAAATCTGCCTGGATCCCAAAAAAAATACAAAAGGCTCAGCTTACTCATATTTAACAGTCAAAACTACCGAATTTGGTAGAAGTTGGAAAAGGAGTCAGGTCTGTGTAGCAGCTAAAATACCGTGCAATTGGTTCAAGGCCTTCCCACGGGATATAAACACGAAACAAAACAGACTCAGACTTTGTCCCCCGGAATTCAAGGGTTGAGTAACACAAATCATTCTTGTTACCTTGCTATATTAATTCATCCTATATGTTCAGGAGGGCTTAAGATTGAACAAAGAATTAAAAGGGACTAAACCAAGCCATTCTGTCATCCTATAATTTTGATGGCCCACCAGTAACATGTCAAAGCTATGTCATTATTTCTTTCACCAAACTTCTTTCTCTCATAATCCTTTCTCCATCTCGATCATAAAGTCAGTAGAAAAACCATCTCCAATTTCATAAACGTGTAACTGTAAGATGTCTCAGAAGTTAGGAATTAAAGACTAACCATAGATGATGGACCCCTTGACCCTGATAGCTCTAAATACCAGTACGCACGAGAAGCCTCCAACACTTCGACAGAGAGAATAGCTCCAGCAACGGCGCCAAGAACAGCCCCACGAAGTACTCCATACTGGGCAGCTCTGCCTGCTACCGCACCAGTTACGGCTCCCGTGAAAGCTCCAGCTACAGAAAATTAAAGAACACGAATGGTTTACTAAACAGGAAAAGGAAGAAATAATAACAAACGGCTATAAGGATCATACAGAGGTGAATGATGATTTGTTCAAAACCTAGAGGCAACATCATTTTCCTAGTCCTAAACCCAGGATAGGTCTACAAACTGAGAAACAAGTTCAGATCATTAGCTGTAAGCTGTAAAACACTTATGATCATCAGAAAAATTATGTCGGGACTGTTGACTAATGATCTCAACAATATTGAATCTCCTTCTTCATAGAAGGAACATTATAGTTCATCATAACTGACGAATTTGGAGGACAGAACTAAAAAGAACGCTCAATCTATAATTTCAATGACTCTTTCCACATGCTCATCCTGTAATCAGTTCATCGACATTCAACCAAATTCTTCAGACAGAAAAAAATGTAACCTTTTTTCACAAACTTTTGCAGGGCCAACACAAGTGATAGTTTTCCTAAGAAATCAAAGAGTTGACCAAAATTTAGAAACGAACAAGTTAGAATTACAAGTAAAAAAAATCGTAAAAAATCATCATTCCTCTTAGTCAAACTAAAATCTATGATCAGTCACGAGAATGATAAAATCAAATGCACAAACAAAAAAAAAAGGGATCAAAGTCGGAAAACTTAAAAATACCCATAGCGAAAATTCCAGTAAGTGCGCCGGAGAAAGCGCCGGAGATCAAACGAGAAACTGTGTCGATTGTTGAGTCGGCGGCTCGTTCAGCCTCCACGGCTGGTGAAAGGATCGCATCCATCGAGAAGAAGAAGAGAAATTAAAGATAGAGAAGAATCACGGGTTCTATAAAATTTCAGTAAAGGAGAAGAAGAGACTTCGTGGTTGGTTGGGACAATTTCGAAGGTAAGATGTCGTCAGCCATGGAAGTTGAGAGACAAGGCACCGCTCGAAAAAGCAACGAAGACGGAAGCCATTTTTTATTATTATTTTTTTTAAAATATATTTTCTTAATTTGGTTTTTCATTTATTTATATTTATACATTCGAACAATCTACGTACGTTTCGTTCGTCCCGGTATTTTATTGGGCTCACTTTAAAATCTGTTTTTTCCCAGGGACCTCTTTGACAAAAAGTGAAAACTTGAATATCCCAATTTAATAAGTTATCAATTCTCATTAAATTTGTTGGGCCAGAGGCCCCTACAAGTGGGCTTTAATTACCTCCCAGTAGTCGACAATTTTCTTCACCCAGTGTAAATTACAAATTTCAATAATTGCAGTTAAAGTCTTCTACTACACAATGGAAACTTGTCATACAAGAAACTAAACACCTCAAAGCCTCACTAATCTCTCCCACCACCAGCTGCTCATCATCGTCATCATGCCCTGAAACAAACTCGGTGATAATGCTTCCGAGCTCAATCCAGCTTTTTCCAGGCACCCTTCTCTTCCTCACACGATCCCTCATCTTCCGTTTCTCATCCCACATTCCTTTAGAAGCATAGATATTCGACAAGGCTACATAATCTCCGACATGATCATCATCTAACTCAAAGATCCGTCTTTGAACTTCTTCTCCAAGCTCAACATTTCCGTGAAGACTGCAAGCGCTAAGAAGCGTTCTCCAAATTACAGTATTTGGCTTTATTGGCATCTGGTTTATGAACTCGTGAGCATCCTTCAGATGACCTGCACGACAAAGCAAATCGACCATACACCCGAAATGAGCTGCTCTAGGTTTCAGGTTGTAATCCACAATCATGCTTTTGAAATATTGTTTTCCTTCTTCCACTAATCCACCATGACTACAAGCCATCAAGACGCCGATGAAAGTCACATCATTTGGAGTGATTACAATGTCTTGGCACTGATCAATCGTCTTCATTTTATTGAAAAGTTCTAAGGATTCTTGAGCTTGACCGTTTAAAGCATATCCAAAGATCATCGAAGTGTATGTAGTCACATCTTTTCTCTTAGTTTCATCAAAGAGTTTCCTCGCTTTCTCAGCTTCCCCAGATTTCACGTACATATTAAGAAGTGAGTTTCTCAGAGTTAAATCCCTAGCCAATCTTCGTTTTCTCTTAACGCCACACGAATAAATCCGTTCTCCCATCTGTACGGCCCCTAGATCAGCACAAGCCGATAAAGCCACAGTCACAATCACTTCATCAAGTTCCATCTTTTCCGCTTCCATTCGTTGAAACAGCTCAATAGCTTCCACAGACCGGTCATTCTCATTGTAAGCTGAGACCATCGCTGTCCACAAGATAATGCTCTGTTTGTCAGACGTTTCGTCGAACACTTGGCGTGCATCATCAACATTACCCGCCGCAGAGTAAAAACCGACCAGGGATGTTTGAATTTGAATTACGGTATTGAACCCCAGTTTCCTTACAGTAGCATGGATCTGTGTACCATCAAATGAGGAAGCTTTCGGAGCTGATAAAGCTCTAATGGCAAACAACACAGAGAAACTGTCAATAAAACTGGAACTTTGTCTGAATCGATGCCGGAAATTTAAAAGAGCTTTGATTGGTTCCCCAGATTCAAGATAATGCTTCACGGTGTGGTTAGATTTAAGCGATTTCGTATGATAATATAAAACAAAGGAATCAAATTTGTTGACCACTCCAAGTGAATCCAGATGACGCAAGATACCCCTCATCATCATTCTCAGGTTTAGATTATTTATTTTTTTCCGTAAAAAGAGGAGGTCCTGCGTGAAGCTCTCTCACTCTCTTTAAAACCCACCAATTACAATATCTCATTTAGCTCTCAGTTCTCCAACAATGGCTTCTTCGACTCTCGGCGGCGATAAGAGAAGCGAGATAGCGTTTTTCGATCTTGAGACGGCGGTTCCGACCAAACCGGGGCAGCCTTTTGCGATTTTGGAGTTCGGGGCTATCTTAGTTTGCCCTTTGAAGCTAGTGGAGCTTTATAGTTACTCCACTTTGGTTCGACCCACCGATCTTTCTCTCATCGCCACGCTCACGAAGCGACGAAGCGGCATTACCCGCGACGGAGTTCTCTCTGCACCTACCTTCTCTGAAATCGCTGATGAAGTCTACGACATTCTCCACGGTAAGGGTTTCTTTTTGAATTACTTTATCTCTCTCACACGAAGCTACATATATTGAGATTTTGGTGTTTCTGTAGGACGAATTTGGGCGGGACATAACATTAAGAGATTTGATTGTGTAAGAATAAGAAATGCATTTACAGAAATTGGTCTCTCTCCGCCTGAGCCGAAAGCTACTATTGATTCCCTTTTGTTGTTGTCTAAGAAGTTTGGGAAGAGAGCTGGTGACATGAAGGTCTCTCTCTTGTTGTTCGGCTTCTCGATGATAAATCTACTTCCTTGTTACCTTTATAGATATGATTCTTCCATGTCACTTCAAAGATTCATCACCCATCAGAGTTTGCTAAAAATTTACTCTTTTAAAATACTGTAGATGGCATCGCTTGCTACATACTTCGGGATAGGAGATCAAGCTCACAGGTAAAAAGAGTAACCGATACCCTGATGAGCCTTTTAACGCTTCATCAGTTTTTTCAATATGGGACTAAACATGGATATGATTCACCAGGAGCTTAGATGATGTCAGGATGAATCTTGAAGTTGTCAAGTACTGTGCAACAGTCTTGTTTCTGGTATTGCTCTCTTCTCTTTTCTTGAATAGGGATTATCTCAAAACTTAAAATCATTAGATTAGATTAGGGTGAGACATATTTGACTTTCTGTCTACAGTTTGCAAAAGTTGGGTTCATCTTCCTCTCGAACCACAACTTTGCAAGCCAAACATGGTCTGCAAGTATAGTTTGTCATATCAATGAGTTTGGGTACTTAATGTTTGCAGGAGTCCAGTGTTCCTGACATTCTTACAGACATGAGCTGGTTTTCTCCAAGAAAAAGTCCGAGAACACAAAGTAAAGAGAAGTCACTGCCTAATGGTGTCAGAGAAAACAAGACTTCTTCGTCTTCGAGCCCTAAAACTGATCCGAGTCCGTCTTCTGTAGATGCCACAACCGTCAAAAATCATCCCATCATTTCTCTTCTGACGGAATGCTCAGAAAATGACACATCTGGTTGTGAAATAAATCCATCTGATATAACCACTCTTATAAGTAAACTACATATTGGAACTCTTCAGACAGATGCTGCGGACGAAGAGGAAACTGTAAGACAGCAGGATGGATCAACCGATCCCAATGCCATAGATGATTCATTTTTGGGCTTTAATGAAGTGTCTGTTTCTAGCATCAGGGCAAGTCTTGTCCCGTTTTATCGTGGGACTCTGAGAATGAAGCTATTTCACAACGACACCCCTCTACATCTCTGTTGGTATAGCTTGAAAATTTGGTTTGGAATAAGCCGGAAGTTTGTTGATCATGTAGGTCGTCCAAAGATGAATATTGTTGTCGACATACCTCCTGATTTATGCAAGATTTTGGATGCAGCCGATACTGCTGCGCATAATTTACTGATTGACTCAAGCACAGGGTCAGATTGGAGGCCTACGGTTATGAGGAAAGAAGGCTTTGCCAAATATCCCACAGCCAGACTGCAGTAAGTATTCAACACTCTCTCTGACCTTTGACATATGATAATTTATCCACCAGAGAGTCTCTTACCTCTGTCACCATTCTTGTCTGCTTGACAGAATAAGCTCAGAATCCAACGGATATGATACAAGGTGTGGAACCCAGGTATACCGAAAAGAAGAACCTTTGGGAACCAATCAAAAGCTCGACTTCAGTAGCGATAATTTTGAAAAGCTTGAGTCAGCACTACTTCCTGGTACCCTTGTTGATGCATTCTTCTCACTTGAGCCTTACGATTATCAGCAAATGGCTGGAATACGTCTAGGAGCCAGAAAGTTGGTAATCCACCAGAAAAAAATGATATAGCCAAGGAAAAATCATTTCGCTGTCTCTTCCTGGTCAGTCGTTGAGCACTTTTTGGTCATTCCCATTTTGTAGATGTATGTAGTCAATGCTAATTCGTGGGAGGTTGGTAGCTAGGAAGAAGGAAATTAGTATTTTAAGAATGATCTGTGAACCGATCAATAGAGACACCACACTCAAAATGTAACAATCATCCTGATTACACAGTTTAATATTATTGATTCTCTAAAATTTTCTTCCGAAGTTAGTACTTGTCAACGAGCGGAAGTGTCTGAAACTTGGATATAGCAGTCAAGAGCAATAATAACAAAGTATGAAATTTCTCCATATATTTGACTGAAGAAAACACAAAAACATCTATGGAAAAAGAATTTGCAGCTAAAATATTCTTGGAAACAACAACAAACAAAAAAGCATAAGAAACAGTAAAGTAGCAAGTACAGGCAAACAAATTTGCTTTGCATTTGTGAGTGTCATATATCTTTACCTATACGTGTCCACGATCTCATGAGAGCTGAGCCTATCTTCTCCTTCTTTTCCTCTAGTTCTGTAGTTTGGATTCCACTTGCGTTCTGCGAATATCAAACTTGTCTACAAACTCCAAAGGAGTGACTGTTTCATTTCTGATCCTCTTAATCTTAGGGCTCAACAATCCTCTATGGCCAAACCCATACAGCTTGAGCACTTGATTGTCTGCAAAATTGAAGGCCCTCTCCATACTCTTCAAGCATCTCTCAACTGCATAATCAGCATAGCTACCACATGGTTTACATCCAACGAAATGGGTCACAAACGGCCATCTTTCATCACCCAATCCCGGGTGATACTTCTCTACCATCTCCTCATATCTATCAACCAAACCTTCCCAAAATCCATGTAAATAATATTGATTCTCCACAAACACTTTTTCCATCCATGTATCTTTCTGAGAAAGCAGAAGATAGATCAATGCTGACTGATCATCTGCCTCAAAAGCAGGTCTGCCTTTCAGATAAGCCGTCAATACTTTCCCGGCCTCATCACGGATTGGCCCTTTAGGTCCCATGGGCGCCCAAGCATCTAACAAATCCAACGACCACTGACAGTTCCTAAGCAGAAAACTACCTGTGTTCAACGCAATCCATGACTTCTGATCGAACAGCAAGTCAGGATAACCGTGGATCACCAGATTATGCTTCTCATACCTAGCCAAAGGGATCTGAAAGAGTATGTCAGTGAACAAAGCATCACTATCCATCCACCAGATCCACTCAACTTCAGGATGAGAGAGCATCAACCTCCTAATCATTGGCAATTTCGCCCAATAGCCAGCAAGTTCCTTATCCAAATGAGCCATGTTATAGACAATCTCAATCCCATGAAGCCTACAATAATCAATCTTGTTCTTCACAGATTTCAACAGGTAATGGTCACCAATCGGGTTATCGCAAGGCTTTGGAGGAGACCCTGTTAAGAGCAAGATTCGAGCTCTGCCATTGAGAGTACTAGGAAACTCAGGGTTCTGATTCAACCATACCTTACGTTGACTATCCCAATCCGTGATCTTAGGACCTAGAACATACGTCGCATTGGGATTCATGTCACCTTCCTGAGGCTCATCCAAGTCGGTGGGATCCGAATCAGATCGGATCTCAGCTAGAATCCGGTTAGTCTCCTCGATGATGTTCTGGTTAACCGCATCGGCGCTTGAGCTTCCGAGGTTGCCAACACCGATTGTGCCACGTAAGACAAGGATAGTGACGAAACCACAGAGAATCGTGATCTTGATGTTGTTAAACGTCTTCTGCATCTGCCTACCTCGAGGCAACAAACCACCCCGACCACCTCTTCCACCACCGTTCGCTACAGTCGTCGTCGGAAGTCCTCCGCCGCTTCCGGAGGGTCTCTTATGCGCCGGTGACCCATCTTGACCCATTTCTCTCCCCCACAACGTCTCTCTAGATATCCACTTACAGGTTTGCTACCATCAAAATTTGGGGTTTTTATGTTTCTTCTTGTGAACACAAGTCTGTGTAGGTTTCTCTCTCTGTACTTAAAATCACGGATCTGAGAAAAAGTTCAGATCTTTAGCATGATTCCGATCGGAGAGAGAGAGAGAAAGAGAAAAGATTTGACGATCTGAAGAACCCTAATTTAAAATTAGAATTAAACCCAATAATGCGGAAACATTGTCATTACTTAAAAATATATTGTCGGAGGAAAATGCTTCGCTCGATCCAGAACTAGCTCAAGCAGAAGAAGATCAAACGCGTACAGCTCACTCACACCGACAAATTTTAATTATTATTTTTTAAAACCGGTATTTAGTAAAATGATGTAAGAAAACGACCGAAGTAAACCGTTGGTTCAATTCAACTTTGGCGGTATAATATGGTGCGAGTGAAAGAAAACGAAACGGCGCGTTTTGTGGTTAAAACAACTGAAAACAGCTACGGATAAGGTGAGGAAATCGGTGACGGCGGTAACCTCGAAAGGTGTTTCAGAGTCACCATGTTTCATGACGCGTGTCCCTTTTTCAGCGAAACGACGCCGCTTTTTTTCTCTTGCAACTACATATCATCCATTCTCTATTCTGATCTGATAAATTTTGTAACTTCAGAGTTATTTCCTCTTCGACCTTCTTCAGTGGTATGTTTCATTGCTTTTGGTATGTTCCTTCTCGAATCATTGTGGTTTGGATTGTGAATTTCATGTCTGATTATTTTCTCGATATAACTTTTTGGCAGAGAGAAAGATTCAAAGTGATTATCTTTTGGTGGATGCCTCCATTGTTATGTGGAAATTAGCTTCAAAATCCATCATAGAAGGCTTTAAATCAAAGGGAGACGATGCTGACATAAAACTGGGAAAGACTCCTTCAGGAGATGGAAGAAAGACAACAAAGGAAGAAAAATTGGAGTGTCCCATTTGCTGGGAATCGTTCAACGTCGTTGAGAATGTGCCTTATGTCTTGTGGTGTGGTCATACTATCTGCAAGTATTGTCTCTTAGGCCTTCAACGTGCCGTTGTCATCAAATCCTCAGCTTTACCTTTCCAGCTTCCCTTCTTCGTTGCTTGCCCTTGGTGCAATATTCTCTCTTTAAGGCTTGTTTGCAATGGAACCATCAAATTCCCTTCCAAAAACTTTTACCTTCTTTGGATGGTCGAAAGCGTGAATGGCTGCAGATCTGAATCTCGTAGCGACGACAAAAGGGTCACTTCAGGCCAGAGAGACATGAGGAATAGGTGTGATGGAGTGAGTCATACGGCCTCAGATGATGAACGGTTACTGGACAATCGCGGCTGGTGGAATGGTGTGACCAGAGGATACTTTAGGACTGGGAGGCTCCATGACTCGGTATGTATGTCAATGGCTCTTGTTACTCATTTGCTGGCTAAGTTTCCTCTCGTTGTCATATTCCTGCTGATGGCTTTATATGCAATCCCTGTGAGTGCTGCAGTTCTTGGGCTCTATTTCTTTGTCACGTTTGCTTTGGCTGTCCCGTCTTTTCTTGTCCTCTATTTTGCCTTCCCCAGCTTAAACTGGTTGATCAGAGAGATTGCTGCCTGACTCATTGTACTGTCACTTGGTTCCTCTGTGTTTCCTGACTTGTAAGAAACATAAGATAGAGCCAAAGCTGTTTACACTCAATATAGACAAGAAGAAGAGAAGATGTTTATTTTAAATTGTGTCTTTGTACATAGTGAAGAAAACTACCTTTCTCTATCTAGATTCTGTGTACAAGAAGAATCAGAAACAATGAAACGAAAAATGGGAAGAAAGAAAACTCTGCTGTTCTGTATAAAATCTGAATGAAGAAAAGAAAGAAAGATTTTTACATTTCTATGTAATCTGGTGAAGGTAAGCCATTAAAGAGCTCTGCTTTACCGGATATCTTAACCAACATAGCTAGAACTTCTTTCATACTTGGTCTTGCCTGAGGATGATCAGCTGTACACTTAACACCAACCTTTAGTAGCTCAGTCAACTGCTCTGCTCCGTTCCCTGGTTTTGTCCCTGACAGTGTAAATGGTGAACCTTTGGCTGTCATGTTACCTGTCATTACCCGTCTTGCCCATTCGACCAAACACTCTTCTCCTCCATCAACAGCTCTTCTACCCGTCGCGAGTTCCATGGTCAATACTCCGTAGCTGTAAACATCTCCTCTTGTGGTGGCTTGCCAAGTTTGCCCATACTCAGGAGCTACATATCCGATTGTGCCTGCAATAACTGTGCTCACATGGCTGTCTCCTACATTTAAGAGTCTTGCTAGTCCAAAATCTGTAACTCTTGCATTCCCATGTCTATCCAAAAGAACGTTGCTTGCTTTCACGTCTCTGTGAACGATGGAAGGGTAACATTCGTGGTGCAAATAAACTAATCCCCGTGCTACATCTGTGGCTATATCGATACGTTTCCTCCATGGAAGTTTTGCTTTGTCTGTGATGAGTTCCTCTAAGCTCCCGCCTCCCATGTATTCGTGCACCAAAATTTTCTCTGACCCATCTAGGCACCATCCATACAGCCTCACGAGGTTTGGATGTGCCCAATCACCAAATGCGTTGGCACTTAAAACTTCCATTTCAGCTCTGAATTCTTTCTCTGCTTCTGTGCCTTCTCTCTGCAGCTTTTTGACTGCAACTTCTCTTCCATCAGGTAATACGCCTCTGTAAACAGTTCCATATCCTCCCCTACCTACCACTCTCTCTTCAGAGAAGCTACTGGTAGCTTTCAGAATGTCAGAGTATGTGAATGTTGATTTGTCTAAGCGAATAACCTTGATTTTTCCTGAGAGCCAAGGTGATGATCCCCCTGAACTGGAAGTCACGTCATGTCTGGTTTTCGACCCATCTAAGAGATCGATTTCTGCATCCCTTGAAGCCTTAGCAACCATGAGAAGAATACCTGCTACTACTAAACATGCAACAAACGCCAATGCAACAGCCAAGGAAATCCAAATCAAAAGAAGAGTTCTTGGCCTATGTCCTATGATTTGGTTAGAAATTTTCCTTGTGTTGTTCCCTGATCGGTTGAAGAAACTCGGAAATCGCAGCCGCGGATTTCCAAGAAAGGATTCTTTGTCAAAGGTAGCCACTTGTCCTGTTGTTGGTATCGTACCAGAAATGAAAGGGTTATATGAGATGTTGAACTTACTCAGCTCATTCAAGTCATTCAAACTCGTTGGAAAGTTTCCTGAGAAATTGTTGCAAGACAGATCAAGATTCTGCAGGCACTTAAGATTTCCGATTTCTTGAGGAATCTGGCCTGAAAATTGGTTTCGGGTAAGGTTGAGGAATGCAAGAGGCAATCGTCCTATCTCCGGAGGTAGTTTCCCTTCAAACTCATTGAAACCCAAATGTAGTGTGCTCAGCTTGTTCATCTGAGAGATACTTGCAGGAACCTCACCTGACAGCTTATTTCCACTGAGCTGAAGATAGGCTGAAATTTCAAGTGTGCGTACCGTGGAACCAGAAGTGC